GAAATATAAGGCATACGGTGATCATATATATATATATATATATATATATACATTGTGTACAAAATAGTACAAAAGTCTCTATGGAACCACATTCTTCCTTTTTCTTTGTTCTGTTTTTTGTTTGTATTCAGACTAGAGTAGGAGTGATTGAACACAAGGGCAGAGAATCTCTGAAAGCAAAGTTACAAAACCAGGCCTTGCACCTGCAGTTGTAGAGTACTGATGATAATCCTCATATGGCACTTGGAGATGTTTGTTGCTGCACCTGTTCTCTACAATTAAACATGGCGTCTGGATACAAAGCACCACTGGAATCAGCCAATCTTGTGTGCTGACTCAAGGATCTGAACCCCACATGTGCCGCTGGGTTCAATCCTCACATGAGCCCACGAACAAGAGATTTTCATGTCAATTTCTTGGTGAGTGAGCTGAAATTGACAGCCTATGATGCCTTTTCCCATAACCGTAGCATTTACTAAAAGCTCTTAGTATAGCATTGTTTTATATAGAAGACATTACCTGCATTAGCAAATGGTGCAAGATAACAAACACGGCTGCATCAACAGAATCAATGATGACATGTACACAGTGAACTCCACAGTGAATATGGTTGTGTATAATTTTAGCTGCTGCTTCAGCTGTACAATTTTAGATGTTTCACCTTTCTATAGATAACCTGTAACAGAAGGCCATTACTCTTTCTGCCTGAAACATGCTGACCCGAGTGAATAAAATGATTTTGCTGACTCTTAAACCCCACTTTCTTTACCCCGAGCACTTGTACTTTGATTTGCGCATTGCTTGTGAAGGCCGACCTGCAAGTATATGCTCTGATTCTCTTAACATTGACTTTCATAGTATTTCTTTTCCATACTATGGAAGTCAATGGGAACCAACAACGTTCTTCAGAACGTCTTTTTATGTTCAACAGAAGACAGAAATTCAGACAGATTTGGAACAACTTGAGGCTGAGTAAATGATGACAGAATTAAAATGTTTGGGTGAACTGTCCCTTTAATTTGCATGAGCCATTTTGTCAAGCAAAAATGTTGAAGCCGGAAACAGGTCAGCTAACAACAGATTTTGGTAAATGAAACTGATTTGCGGCATACATCAAAAAAAAAAAAAAAAAAGGACCAT